TATGGATGGGTGGCACGAGATTATGCGGGTATCTTTCAGGGGGAAGGCGGCGGTGGAAACCTGTGATATGAATCTAGTTTAATGGTAGGCAAAGACGGAAGAGATATGAGCGACAATGTTGGCTTGTATTGGTAAGGGCTTTGAGGTGGTTCAAATACAGTCGGACTCTAAATGTCTAGTGGAAATGCTTAAAGGAAAAACTCAACCTGATGTTGTGATTGAAGGCATCCTCTTTGATGTTTAGTGTATGAAACAATAATTGAAGTCAGTAGAATTTATTCTCACTCCTCGTGTTTGCAACAAGGCAACGCATCATGTGGAGCCAATGGAGTCCATAATGCTACTGAAGAAACAATGTGTAAGTTTGAGGAATTGGAGCAAGGGTACCATGTGTAGATGGGGTGCAGCGGTAGGAGATTGCCTAGGTTAGTAATCCTCTTCATAAATGTTGGGTTCGCCCATCATTTCGTACAATTAAAGTGAATGTTGATGGAGATTGGTTCAAGGCATTGGGTTGTGGTGGATATGGATGGGTGGCACGAGATTATGCGAGTATCTTTTAGGGGGTAGGCGGCGGTGGAGACCTGTGATATGAATCTAGTTTAATGGCGGAGGCGGAGACGGAAGAGATATGAGCGACAATGTTGGCTTGTATTGGTAAAGGCTTTGAGGTGGTTCAAATAGAGTCGAACTCCAAATGTCTAGTGGAAATGCTTAAAGGAAAAACTCGACCTGATGTTGTGATTGAAGGCATCCTCTTTGATGTTCAATGTTTGAAACAATAATTGAAGTCAGTAGAATTTATTCTCACTCCTTATGTTTGCAACAAGGCAACGCATCATGTGGAGCCAATGGAGTCCATAATGCTATTGAAGAAACAATGTGTAAGTTTAAGGAATTGGAACGAGGGTACCATGTGTAGATGGGGTGCAGTGGTAGGAGATTGCCTAGGTTAGTAATCCTCTTCATAAATGTTGGGTACACCCATCATTTCGCACAATTAAAGTGAATGTTGATGGAGATTGGTTCAAGGTGTTGGGTCGTGGTGGATATGGATGGGTGGCACGAGATTATGCGGGTATCTTTCAGGGGGTAGGCGGCGATGGAGACCTGTGATATGAATCTAGTTTAATGGCGGAGGCGGAGACGGAAGAGATATGAGCGACAATGTTGGCTTGTATTGATAAGGGCTTTGAGGTGGTTCAAATAGAGTTGGACTCCAAATGTCTAGTGGAAATGCTTAAAGGAAAAACTCAACCTAATGTTGTGATTGAAGGCATCCTCTTTGATGTTCAGTGTTTGAAACAATAATTGAAGTCAGTAGAATTTATTCTCACTCCTCGTGTTTGCAACAAGGCAACGTATCATGTGGAGCCAATGGAGTCCATAATGCTACTGAAGAAACAATGTGTAAGTTTGAGGAATTGGAACGAGGGTACCATGTGTAGATGGGGTGCAGCGGCAGGAGATTGCCCAGGTTAGTAATCCTCTTCATAAATGTTGGGTACACCCATCATTTCGTACAATTAAAGTGAATGTTGATGGAGCTTGGTTCAAGGCGTCGGGTCGTGGTGGATATGGATGGGTGACATCAGAGCATCTAAATATCTAAAGCGGAAGTGAACTAATGTAATACATCCAAAAATGTTAGTTACAAGATTACTAAGAGAAGTCCCTACACTGATGAGGGAGTATTATGCCATCACACCTCTACATCAAAAACTTCAAACCCTACTAAATCCAAGAGAGACGCAAAATAAAGGGTACAACTGAGCAAAAATATAGATTTAATAAAACCTCTGCTTTTTGTAGTCTTAATCCCTTGATGTAAAAACGCATTATAATATTCGAAATCATACTACATCGTAAATATGAAAAACAAACAATAGAGAAAAAAACATTAAATCCAAGAAGACAGAGAAAATCAAGTAATTTCTTAATAAAAAATCATTCTGAAAATCCCACAGGTAGAAGTTACATTCCTAAAGTATCTTATTACAAAATAAATCACCAATCATCAAATAAATCACCAATCGTAATAATAATCATGTACACCCGCTTAGGCTAGGCAACAGGTTACCACCCAGATTAATTCTTAGGTGTTTGAAAATAAAAAAATAGCGTCTAAACTTACATAGGTGGGCCCTCGCTTAGGTCGCGCTTCTCACTTAAATAGAAAATATATAATTTTCATTTTGCATTTATTTTTTAATAAATTGTAAGAGATTTGTTGAATATTTGGATGAACACTCATTATATGCTTATTTTCTATGTTTTCAATATGTTCTAATACTTTATAATATATATATTATTCTATTTTGTAATTTTGTATCTCAATACAACTATGTATTTTTAAGTATAAGTAGATGATTATTTATATGTTATATAACAATTTGATTAAAATTAATAAAACCGCCTAGGCCGGCCCTGCCACTTGACTAGCCCCTAGCGCTTTTTAAAACCTTGGATGCTAAGCTCATGCTCACCGCTTGGTTAGCACCTAGCGAATATTAACGACATATCTTTCAAACCATTTATGAAGACTTTTATTTTTTATTTTTTGAACAAATGATATTATCTACACTAAAAGGAGGGGTTGGCCTTAGCCTCACAATGGACTAGCAATAATATGTTTCAAATTTGTCTTTGACGAGAATTGAACCTAATACCTCTTACTTACAAATAAAGAGAAGTATCACTAGACCCTTGAAAACTTAAAAACAAATATTTCCGTGGAAGTTAAAATATAGGCGTATCAACGGATATTTCCTTTGCAAACAAATCAGGGGTCAAACAGTAATATGTAGAACATCTAATTGATATGAAATTTCTCCCCCTTATATAAAAAAACACTTCGTGCTAGTATGGAGCTGATTTTTCGGGTCAGCTTTTGCTTTATTAAAAAGTTTTGAATTGTTAAGCTGTTTGGTAAAAGACATGGCTCCTGCTTATTTGAAAGATTACAGTGCGACGAAGTTAATTTTTGATAAGACGTAACGTCTAGGTACAATTGCAAATAAAATAATAGAATAATCCTTCTAAGTAGTGGACAAAATAGGAAGCAAATTAGCATAAAAATGCCCGTTTAAAGTGAATAAATCAAAAGGGACTTGTACCTTAGAAAACATATTTTAAGACGTTAGGAATTTGAGCATATATGATGTATCTTAAGTTACCTAGTAAACATCATAGGGTATCAGTATTGCCTTTATCAATACATACAAAATAAATGGAGAAAAAGAGGGGGAAGTGTAGTTGTATTTAGAATAGGATCTTGTCTGGATTCTCTTTTCTGAGGATTATAGGGATCAGTTTATCAGTTATTTTGCGCTTATAAATTATTTTTAATTTTTTATTTAAAATTAACCATAAACAATACCTAACAAAATCTGACCTCACGATATACTATGAACAACTAAGATGAATTAATTCCTAGGATCCTCACAAAGAGAATCCGGCAAAAATTCTCTTCCTGTAGTCATAGCATGAATATAAAGAAAGGAGAGAGAGAGAGATATTGGAAGCATCAGAGCCAACAAGAAGGACAAGGCATACTGATAATCCCATGCGTTTATATCTATATGGTGAATTATATATTCACAAATAAGAATTTTACAAAGTCATAAAACGTCACGTCCCCTTTCTTTATTTTGGGGGGAAGAGGGAGGATTTCGGAAACATTTATGCTGCGTACATGGTTATTGTGGTCCGGAGGTGTCGGAGTTGGGCGGGAGTTGGGCAGATGATCTGGTGGTGGTGGGGATTGGGAGCTTCTTATTGTTTTGTCTTGTGACATTCACTTTGACACCCACCAAAAAGTGCCACCAAATTGCTTCCAAGTTTTAACCCCAATGCTAAATTTCGAAAACTAATAATATTACAAGCGATATTTTAAACTAATCTACATTAAAGAAGGAGCGAATATTTGAACCCAATAACTTGAAAGAAAAAGTCCTAATTAACCATCAAGACAGTATATCATTTGGTCGAAAAGTAGTTAATTTGGACATTTTTCTAAGACTTAATAGTCCTTTTATTCCTAATTTTTTTATACATATATAACTTCTATCACTCGAGGGAGGTTTGTACAATGCTTGAGTAAGATTTATTTACTTCTTGAAGGGATTTTGAGTGATTTATGCATACCCTGTTTTTAGGGAGTTTTAACGAAAAGTCTACGATACTGTTTACTTTAACGAAAAACCATATTTTTACACTAAAAAGTCAATCCTGGTACTATTCACTTTATCCTTTATTTTGTCCTTATCGTTAAAACTTAAAGTTTTCAAGCTATTTTCATTAATTTTTCTTTTTTTATTTGTTTGCCCTTGCTTATTTGTGGCTTTTAAATAAAATTAAAAAAATAAGAATTCAAAAGGAGAAGTAAACAGAGATGTACAAAAGAAAATAAGAGTGGTACGATCGCATGTTGATGAATCATCAAATCATTTGGTACAAACTTTGATATGTCTCTTGTTTATTAGTTGCCGGTTTTAGGGGTAAGCTTGGTGTTAATTCACCTAATTTGTATCTAGTAGTACCTACACCTATCATTATCATTGTTAGGCTTTGTGTTAATTCACCTAATTTCAAAGATTATGACCTCTCTCTCTCTCTCTCTCTCTCTCTCTCTCTCAATAACATCTTATTGTTAACATTGAGAAATTTGCACATGGGATTTTCTGAAGATTGAAGACTCTGGTCCTTGATCGATCTATCTACTTTCACGGACTCTCTGCAACCTCATATTTTTTACACAAGATTTTATAATATTGACACATGAATTGACGTTAAACTGTGTGGTGACATAGAGTCCATAAAAAGTCTCATTTTGAGAAAGTCTCCCTAGCATTTCAACTACTACATTCTCAATATTTAAACTGCCATTGGTTCATCTTTCTTTGTCAAATAAAATGAAAAACAAAGTAAATTAATAGCTTTCATTTTCCCCCTCTCATCTCCTCTCATCTCATACATTATATATTTGCATTCACTCAAGGCTTGCCAAACTCCAGTCAATCACTTTAAAATTTGAAGTTTCACTCACTCACGCCATCCAATGCTTTACCTCCTTATTTCTTTTTTCTCTTTCATCCTCCTTTCCAAGTCCTTCACTCACCACAAGCCAATGTTACAGACATGGGAGGATAACATCAGATTAATCTCACTCAAGTTTTGGAGTGGATCTTCAAGTTTTCTCCAGAAAAACTGGATTTCACTCCAACCCATCACCTCCAAATTAAAAAAGATGGTGACTTCTGGTTCAAATGTGGAGGGGCAGAGAGAGGAGAGAGAAACTAGTCTCTCTCTCCTGGATTTACCCGACTTGGCCTTGAGCTGCATTCTTGAGAAGCTTCCCCCATCTGGGTTGTGCTCCATGGCAGCAGTTTGTTCTTCTCTAAGGGAGAGCTGCAGAAGTGATCACTTGTGGGACAACCATATCAAGCACAAATGGGGTACACTTATTGGGCCTGCTGCTTACAGACAATGGCAACTGCATGTGGCCTCAAGAAATAGAATCAGACATTTCTGTCTTAAGACCAAGAAAAAAGGTCTAATGGAGTCCCTTGCGGCTATCATTTTGCCTTCCACATGGACTACTCTGCCACAATCAGTAACTTGTGTGTGTAATTGTAAAGTGAAGGCTAGCAGTCGTAGTTTACCAGTCCATTCGATCATGTCTCTGTGTCTCTCTCTCGAAAGTGGCAAGTTCTGGTTCCCGGCTCAGGTCTACAACCGCGAGGTATTGCCGCAAATATTATCAGTAGTATCTATCTCTGCTAATTTATAGTTTGTACAATTTTTTTGTTTGTTGTTTTCTTGCTTGACAATTCAATGAACACCTTATATATATCTATATATATGTGTCTTTTCCTGCAGCATGGTAATCTAGGGTTTCTGCTGTCTTGTTATGATGCACAACTGCGCTATGATTCGTGGACAAACACATTTCAAGCACGGTAGAGTAGCAGTCTTCTTTATATGCGCGTATTCATATATAAAGTTCGATTCTGGAAAGGCTTAGTTCTGAATGGTCCTCTCTTGAATTCAAAAATGTACATTGCAGGTATTCACCTTATGGGCGGAGGGTAGTAGAGGAAAATATACCATGGGATAGATTAAGAGCGGCTCCAGTTGATACTCCTCCTTACAAACTTCATGTTTCTGATTGTTTACATGACTTAAAACCCGGTGATCATATTGAGATCCAGTGGAGAAGAAACAATGAATATCCTTATGGTGTGTTTCTAAATCCCACCTTCAAATGTCTCTATATTTTCCATCACTTTTGGAAGGAATTTGGCAGTAATTTGGATTCTTATGTATTTTAGGTTGGTGGTATGGTGTCATTGGTCACTTAGAGTTGTGCAATGGGAATGTGAATCACTGCCGTTGTCACTACAATGGTGAGAACGACATTTCAGTTTCTGCAATTCTGCTTTCTTTGTTTTTTTCATTACTGGGAGATACATACTTCTTTCTCGCTTTTTTGTTTTTTTTTTTTCCTGTTACAAAAGACAGAATTCCTTCCTATGTCAGTTGATAAATATCGTGCATGAGATGCCGTACTTGTTGAGAATGAATCTCACATTGATGAGAGAAGGGACCTTGCATGTGTAAGAGATTGGTCTACTCCTCGTATTGCCAATTGGTTTTATGGTGGAACCTCAACTTTCTCTGGTACTAAAGTATTCGTATAGAAATCTATGGAGTTTAGGATATTTCTTCCCCTGAATAGTTGGGCATTCAAGCACTTTCAGCATGGGAATCCATGTCCTGCATTAATTTAGACAGCAGAAAACTCTAAACCTAGACATAAAGATAACTTGATGCTGAAACGTCCTTCTCTGTTTCTTACGTTTGAGGAATGTGTCCCTGCTACGGTTGTTTGTCATGACCAAATCTGATGTCTTATCCATGTTTTGGTGCCGAATATGTTTTATTTCCCTCAACATAATTGTTTGTTCTTAGAGGATAGCGGTTTTCCCATCCCTTGCATTTTGATCATTGTTTTATAAACGAAAGAAGTGACGCTTGACTAAAAATGAAAAGGAAAACCTACGTGCTAGTCTTGCTGAATTCATATTTCTCATATGTAAACCATCTGTTTCATGCATTCTTTTGTTTCTTCTAATCACTTGTGACCCTTAGGCTATCCGAAGGAAGCGGAGTTTACATAGTATTTTTTTCTTCCGGGGCTAGGATTCTACGACTATTTTCTTTACTACCATTACTGTATATAAGTATCTGACAAACAAGTACTCTCTAATTACAGATATAGTAGTGCTGGAGTTCCATCATTACACTCCTGGATCCCGGTGGAGACAAATGACGATAAACAGGAAGGACCATCGAGAAGAAGGCAATGAAGCAGACGGCTTCTATGGAGGAATCCGAAAGCTTTACAATGATGAGGAAATTGCAAGGTGGAAGCGTTTATGGCCGAGCCAAGTTCTGGAATAAACCTTCTACTATTACTCCTATCCATTCTGTAAATAATTAAGCTCCCTTTCCCCCTCTCTTTTTGCTGTTGAGATGTGAATGAAGATCAAAATAACACTCGACGTGTTCTCAAGTAGAAACCTCAACAGAAGTATGTAACTGTTTAGAAAGCTGAAAAATTGAGTTACAAAAGCCCTCACTGCTCTCACCCATATCTAAACCAATTCTCCTATTTAGAAGAGTGTGATCAATGTTATCAAAACAACCAACAATGTCTGCTTTGAAAAATTGATCTACTGTCCCCCAACTATCAACATGCTTGAAGAATGTGAAGCCCAAGCGCCCCTTGTTGGGCTGTTGTGTTTTTTTTTGATTTTTTTTTTTTTTTTTTTTTTTTTTTTGGTTGTTTGCTAGGTCCGGCCGATCTCCCCTTTTATGTGAAGCCTAATACCAACCCGGCCTTTGTTGAAATCGGCCCGAGGCCTGCTCGAAACCTAGCCTTTTGTCCTTGCCCCACCCGTGCCTTTTCCCCATTTCCCTTGGCCATTCCAGAAATTAAGCCCAAAGCTGTCCCTTCAAAACGTGCCGTCCCACACTTCTTCAACTTCACCCACTTGCCAAGGTTACGTTGAAGGTTGTGGCTGGTGGATGAAGGTATGAAAGTGCAGAGAAGGTGCTGCAACTTGAAGCTTGCTGCCGCTGTTTTGGGGCTAGGGCCCGTGGGTAAAGTGGGGGTTTTTCATGTTTCTGACGGAATATTTGCTTAACCTGTTGGGTGGAACAGGTTATTGGCATAGATAGGAGCTGATTAGTCACCATAAAATGTAGAGAAGGATATAAGTAGCCATATAATATGTAACAAGGACCTTGTGAATGGAGAAAAATGATGAGAAAGTTGATGTTTAAAGTTGTTTTGTTTGTACTATTGTTGTTGCATAGATTGCAAAAAATCTTGAGTTTTGTGAACAATTTTTTTTTTTTTTTAATTATTTGCAGCAAAGTTTTGTGTTTGGAAAATAGTTTAATAGGTAAGGTTTATTGATTGTAGGTTTTTGGTTGTAAGTTTTTGTTTGGGTACATAGCTTGAATAGTTAAAGCTATTATTAGGACACCACAAATTAATTTTGCTTCACACTATCTTGATCAAGAGTGTGTGAAGCTTTTACATCTTTTAGTGTTGAAGATTTGTAGGTGAAGCTTTGTAGTTAAACTTTTAGGTTGAAGCTTTGTAGGTGAAGCTTTGGGGTTGAAGCTTTGTAGGTGAAGCTTTTATATTTGGCACAACGAATTGGTTTTAACTAGGGACAAGAAAATGTGAAAGAGACATCATACACATATTTTGCTTCCACACTCTTGAGCAAGAGAGTGCGAGGCAAGCCACACATTGTAGTAGTTGAAGGTTCGGAGGAACCATATAAATTGAAATTTGCTTCGCATAGTCTTGATCAAAAGTGTGTGAAGCTTTCTACTAGTTGTAGTGTTTGCATTGTTACAAAGGGGAAATGTTTGGAGTAGATGCAAGAGGGTTGAAGAGCTTGATCTTTGTACATCATGCACTGAAGCCTTTGTTGGTTTGCAATAAGACTTCGTTGGTGACTATAACCCTTGTTGGGCATAAGTGCTCCCCCAGTTGACTTGTAAGGCTTGAGGGTTTTGATTATTTGTGAATGCTAAGAGTTCACAAGTACAAGTTCTACCACTTATCACCTAGGTGGTGGAAAGAATGGTGAGTTGCTGAGGCAAAAATATTTATTAATAATACTAGTTGTACTCCTCATTGCCTGGTTGGTGATACGAAGGTGAGTTTCTTCATCACCTAGTTAGTGATAAGAGTGGCAAGTTGCCAAATGATATTAGAGGACGGGTTGTACCTTTTGTCACCTGGTTGGTGATATGAAGGTGAGTTCCTTTATCACATGGTTAGTGAGAATAAGAGCAAGGTGTTGAGACACATTGTTACAAGTGTCGAATAAAATAGTATGTTGGCCTTTTTCGAAGCTCAATTGGCTTATGTATGAATGTGTTGAAATGTATTTTATGTTGATTAACATGAGTGATGCTTATAAATGTTTTGTTATGCATGAAGGAATCTAAGCTTTGGAGGTATTCCTCGAAGATGAAGAATCTATGCTTGGGTATAATTGAATGAATACACTTTGAAGTTATTTGTTTATTTGCATAGTCTTATTGACATATACTTAGACTTTATTTTATGTTGGAAGCATTCATGTTGAAGCTTCAAACTCGAGTATGTGGTGTCATTTAAGTTGAGGTTTTGAGTTAGGATTTTATTAGGTCAGGGTGAGACTAAGTGTTTCATTGCTAGAAATGTAAAAAATTTAGGACCAAGTTTGTCTGAATCACCTCTTTATTGAGTTCGTGCCAAATGACCTTCATTACAAAGGATGTCAAACAGCTATAGCTTAACACTTGTACAATGCAAGTCTACTTGTAATAGTACTTCAAGTGATCAGCATTCCATGGATGGCCAAGGGTCTTGCCATTGAAGCTTCTAAGTTGTTAGGAGCTGGGGCGACTGATGCGAACAACTTCAAATGGTCAATCCCAGTTTGGATTGAGTTACATTCACTCGGGACTCTGTCGTAGAGTAGTTTTTTCTTCAATACCCAGTCCCCACTTTGAAAGAGCAAGGTTTGACCCTAAAGTCATAGTAGTTGGAGATGCATTGCTTGTAAGTGACGTTCCTCAACTGAGCCTGATCTCTGTGTTCCTCGACTAGATCCAAGTTGAAGGTGAGTTGTTTGTCATTTTCACTTTGCATGCAGTTCTTGACTCGATATGTTGCTTGCTCAAACTCAACTGGGATAACTACCTCTATACTAAAGGCAAGTAAAAATGGAGTTTCTCCTGTTAAAGTTTGATACGAAGTGCGGTATGACCAAAGAACCTGGGGTACAAGTTCTGGCCAACAACTTTTAGCCTTGTCCAAGTTGATCTTCAAAGTGCGCTTGATTATCTTGTTGATGACCTCAACATGTCGATTAGCCTGAACATGAGCTAAGGAGGCGAAACATAAGTTGATGTTGAACTTAAAGCAAAAAATCCTGAACTTCTTGTTGTTAAACTGTCGTTTATTGTCAGTGATTATTGCATTAGGAATGCCGAATCTGCAAAGGATGTTCTTCCATACGGAGTCTTCTATCTTGGCCTCAGTAATGGTTGCCAATGGTTATACTTTGGCCCATTTTGTGAAGTAATCAACTACAACGACTGCATAACGAACCTTGCCCTTCCCCGCAGACATTGGGCCGATTAAACCAAGTCCCCACTGGGCTAAGGGCCAAGGGCTCATCATAGGAGTAAGAGCTTTAGGTGGGGAATGAGAAATAGTTCCATAGTGTTGACACTTGTCACATGAGTGAGATATTTTGATGGCATCTTGGTGGAGTGTTGGCGAAAAGCTTTGTGTGCTAGGGACCAAGATCCAACATGATCTCTGCAAACTCCCTTATGTATCTCTCGAAGGACAATTTCCCCCTTAGCAAAGGTAAGACACCTCAAGTATGGCAGGGTAAAACCTCGCTTGTAGAGTTAGTCATTAATGATTAGGTAACGGGTAGGCTTGTATCGAATTTGCTTAGCTTGGAATTCATGAGCAAGGAATTTATAAATCAGGGTGATCCAACTATCCCCCTGTTGTAAGTTGCACATTTCCATGGACATGGTGCTTGGTGCTACCAATAACTTGACATGAATGTTTCTTCCAATCTCGTCTTCCACTATTGAGGCGATGTGAGCCAAGGCGTATGCATGACTGTTTGCCGCTCGAGGGACTTAGGTGTTTGTGCAAGATATGCTGCCATGAAGCTATCATTAGCATCAAAGTTGTTCATGACTTGGTTAACTACCAATTAAGAGCCACTGAAGATATCAAGTTGTTTGACTCCAAGGTGTTTGGCCAAATGTAAGCCTGCCAGGAGGGCTTCGTACTCGGCCTCATTGTTTGACGCCTTGAATTTGAAGCGAAGAGCATACTCCATTGCCACTTTGTCAGGCGCAGTAAGGACTAGTTCTGCTCCATAACCCTGTTGGTTAAATGAGCCATCAACATATAAAGTCCATACTGGGAAGGTTGGTTCTATTTTCTGAGCTTCCGAGGGTAATGAAGCCAACGCCTCAGGTGTAGGAGAAATGTCAATAGGATATGTGAATTCGGCAATGAAATCTACAACTTCTTAGCTGGCTTTAGTTGGTAAAAAATGTCAGACTCACCCAATGTTATCGGCCACTTGATCATTCATCCCGAAGTGTCATGACTCTGGAGTATCTGTCGAAGGGGGTGATTGGTAAGCACGATGATGGAGTGTGCTTGGAAGTAGGGGTGAAGTTTTCAAGCAGACATGATTAGCATTAAAGCTAATTTCTTAATGTTAGGGTATCGTGTCTCTGCGTACTGTAAGGCCTTGCTAACGTAGTAGACGAGCTGTTTGGCAATACCATCCCTTCGAATGAGAATAGAGCTGACTGCTGAAGCTGAAACAGATAAATAGATAATGAGAGTGTTACCAACCTCAGGTTTAGAGAGTAGAGATGCTTTATTTATGTGCTCCTTGAGGTTCTTGAATGCCTCGGCACATTCACCAGTCCATTTAATGCACTGCTTACTTCCTTTAAGTGCTTTGAAGAAGTGAGCACATCTGTTTATGGCCTTAGAGATGAACCTGGTCAAGGCTGCTACCTTGCCAGTAAGGCTCTGTATGTCTTTTGAAGTTGCTGGTTCTTTCATGTCAAGGATTGCCTTGATCTTCTCAGGGTTAGCTTCAATGCCTTGTTGGCTAATCATGAAGCCCAAGAATTTGCTAGAGCCCACACCAAAGGAACATTTGTTAGGGTTAAACCTTATTTGGTACCTCCTCAGGCTGATGAAGGTTTTAGCTAGGTTGGTGATGTGTTGGTTAGCATGTTTGCTCTTGATTAGCGTATCATCAACATAAACTTCCATGCTCTTTCCAATCTATTTGGCAAACATTAAATTGACTAATCTCTGATAAGTCGCGCCTGCATTCTTGAGGTCAAATGGCATGACTTTATAGCAATATAGTCCCCTGTCAGTAGTGAAGGTTGTGTGCTCTTGGTTCGGATGGTACGTGAGGATTTGGTTGTACCCTGAGTAAGCATCCATGAAGCTCAAACGTTGACACCTTGCCATTGAGTCGATAAGTCTATCAGTGAAAGGGAGAGGAAAGCTATCCTTTGGGCATCCTTTGTTGAGGTCAGTGTAATTGACACACGTTATCCACAAGATCTTTTGAAACAAGAGGCTTTCCTTGGTTTGATTTTTCTTAACAAGGACAACATTTGCTACCCACGTTGGATATATGACTTTATAGATGAAGTCTATGTCCTTGAGTTTTTCAACTTCTGCCTTCATTGCCTCGTATCTTTCGACGTTATAAGACCTTCGTTTCTGTCTCATCGGCTTGGTTTTAGGGTCAATACTCAAGCGATGACAGATGATATCAGGAGAGATGCCTGGCATATCTTTGTAAAACCAGGCGAAGACCTCGGCGTTCTCTTGCAAAAAAAAAAAGAAGATCAATGCCAATCGAAGGGGTGGTGACAAGGTGGTGCCAATCTTCACCATGTGATATGGATTGTCTTTGGAGATAGAAAACTTCTCCAACTCTTCAACGGGTTGTGCTTGCTGGGTGAAAGAGTCATCTCGAGGATCGTTGGGTTGATTGTTGCCATCATGAAGATCCAAGTTGGCTTTGTCCGGGCTGGTCTTTATGACTTGGTCATGTACAGAGAGGGTTTCCTTGGGCACAAGTAAGTGTTGTAACATAGTCGTGCACTAAGTTGATCTTCTCTGATATAACCATTGCCATAAGGGGTTGGAAACTTCATCAACAACATATGTGTGGATACCATGGCCTTGAGATCATTGATGCATGTGCACCT